GTTGAAAATACCCGAAAGAAGCCAGTTAGAAAGACAAGAAGACAACCCAAGACCTTGCATTATTCTGAATTATTCATCAATATAATGTTGTTAATTGGACTTAATCTTTTTTAATCAGTCAGTAAAACATACAAATTTGAAACAGTTATGGTAGACTGTACGTATGATGTCTTTTACACTTCAAACACGTGCATTGAGATATATATCAAGTCGACATATACATATAAATGCAAATATATATTGTTAATTGCTTATTTTAAAAGTAAAAACTACAGCAAGTGTTTTTCTCTTCTCATATAGAAGTATTTGAATAATAGTTCAGCTAATATACAGGAGAATAGTCAATGCCCAATGCAACGGATTTCAAGAGTCGTAGGAAAACTTGATCTCCTAATCTCCGATGAATAGATAAAGTTAAATATTCCAATTCATGTCAATCTGGAAAATGAATGTCAAGGAAAGACGATGACTAAATCAAATCCTGCATTTCATAAGATAAAATCATTCTGCTTTGCTGGATTAATCTGTCAAAATTCCAGAACTAATTACACGCGTGTCTAAAAGCAAAGTTAAAATAATAATGAGCAAATTTTTTTTTTCTCTGCAAACCTTAATTTTCAATGAGAGTAGATTTCATGCGTAACATTACGAGAAGCCAAAGGTACTTGTGGACAGGAACCCCCCCCCCCCCCCCCCCCGATATTCAACCCCGGGGCTTATTTGACTTTTTTTTTCAAACTCCGGTTTGTTTGAAATTTCCTTAGGTAAACGCAACGGAAGTGCATAGAGAATGTTTCACTTATTACGATAACGTCCGAGAGAGTTTTTGCCTGAAGTAATAATCACTCTCAGGTGTTATCATAATAGGTAATAGGCACTTCCGTTGCGTTTGCCTAAGGAAATTTCACCGTTCTGACTGGAATGCATTTTAAGGAGAAATTGTAGGATTCTTACGAGATGCAGAGTCAATCCGATAGCATGGACTGAGACAGAAATATATGTAGAGACAGTGTGGACCAACATTTTATGTGAAAATGAAATAAATATATGTTTTTAAACCCAGAAAGACCAGTGAGGGTACAACGTAAACAAACCGGAGTTGATTACCTTTCTCTCTTATAATGTATAGTGGGGTATTTTTTTGTGGAGCAATTATTTTGGGGTTTTGACGATTTATTCCTATTGCAAACATGTTGAATAAGTGTAATAAATATAAATTGTGAAAAAAAAATGTCAAATAAGTACCTGACATAATTTATTGACACCATGAACGTAAAACAATGAATACTTTGAAATGCAAAAGAAAAGTAAATGATATTAAGATACCGGGTAATCGTAAAGTAAATTTTATATCTTGTTGTTGTTAAATACATAATGTGAGAGAAAACATGTATTTCTTTTTTTCGAATTCAATTTCCCCAATCCAATTGCTAGAAGAAGAACAGCTCTCCGCTCCGCTTTGAGGTAAACTAAATTAAGGTGAAATTAATTTAATCACGTTTTTCCAATTATGATTGATAGGAGAAGCCTTGGGAGGTCTAAACAAAACTTTTAAAAGAAGAGAGCGTTTGACATTCATTACCTATCAATTTACTAAATGCTTTCTTAGATACACAACACTACCTCCATTCCACTACCATACCGTTGTAAGTGCAATCTTACGAGGAATTCTTTGAATGTCATTTATATCATATTCATATTTCTGTTATATGTGATCCATTATTTTGCTGTAAACCAATGTCTTTTTCATGTGGAGTTTATCTAAATTTTATTAACTTAATCTTGAAAAATTGCTGCTGAACACTTTTTTAAAAGAAATTTTAAGATGATTGTTCTGAGAGAAATTGAGACAAAAGACATGCAGCTATTACCCATATACTTTCACAAATGGCAGAAATATTCATTGAGTTTTCTCAAGAGACCAACAAACAAGTTTTATGTTATTCTCTAAGACTTTCTTGTCTCTAAAACATATCATTACCCAAATTACTAAGAAATATAAAAGAAATGAGTTTGTTGGTTTTATTGTAATAATTGCCTTTACAGATATTTGACACATATGTTCTAACATCATTTTCATTGTCATATTATGGCATGTCAAGGGGTTTAAGCTAACAAAGCATAATAAAACACTTGTGAGCTCAGGTAAAAAAGACATTACATAGAATTGTATTCAGAAAAAAAAATGTGAGAAGAAAACAGACCTCAAATGCTAAATTACTGTTCTAAGAATATGATGGGAGGAAGGATATTTTTCAACCAATAGACATTTTGTTTTCGTATTTAAATCCATTTACTGTCGAGTCTAGTTCACCCATCTGAACTATTAATGCATAAACTTTGCAAATATACCATGAATAATATTTTATCAAATAAAAGACTTCATGCATTATCCTTTACAAAATATTTTTAAACCTTGTGTAGACTAATACTCGATTGTTTAACCACTAAAACTGCCTATTAAAAAGAAAACCCATAGAAAAATTACAGCAATATGTTTCATTGTACTTCTTATAAATTTTGAAAAAAAAGCTAGGCAAAAGCGAAATACTAACCGTTTAATACTTTAAATTCTACTGAAATTATTTTTAACACATATATATTATAGAAAGCCATCAGGAAAGCAAAATCGCAAGTAAAGAAAATAATTATAACAAAATAGAAATGAAAAAAAGTATATTGGGGAGTGAAATGAAGGTTAAATCTCCGTCATTTCTGTTCAGACAACATTATGACAATTTAAGAAAGCAAACAATAAAACAAATAGCAAATGGTAAAGATACCGAAAAATTGATTGATCTCAGAAAAATATAATTTAAAAACATCTTTAAGCAATAAAAAATCTGTGAACAAAGGAAATCACAGACCAATGGAATTTTAAGAGGTTGGATCGGGTGCTCAGAATGAGCTAGTAAGCCTTCCCTATTAACACCGGTGACAGCCCGCCATGAGGCCTATGTATTTATCAGGTTGACGGAAGATTCTGATTTTTTTTCTTTGAATTAACGTCTTTTTGAAAGGTATATGTAAGTGCATTAATTTATAATTACAATCTTAATGAATGTAAATTTTCTAAAAGAGAGACAATTTGTTTTATACGTGGTTGTCACAATTGTCATTGGGCGGGAACTCTGAAAATCAATAATGCTGCGTGTATTTCGATTCTTTTAAACTTTATTTTTAATTCAATCAGTTTATGTCAGTTATACATGAAAATGCACGTTAGGTACATGTACTCCAAAGATTATTAATGACTGTTAAAACCATTGGATAATGTATGCGAAGGGGCAATTCCAACATTTTGAATGTTTCCGCCAATTCCTGGCATACTAACAAGGATTACTTGACGATTTTTTTTAGAAATGATAAAATCTGTGATAGTAATGGAAAAAATAATTTTCAAAATGACTACTAACCAGAGAATTTACTAACACTTTCCAACCAATGAATGATATCATCCCTGTTCCACTGACAAAAAATCAATCTTTTATCAAGATAACATGTTCCTATTCAAGAATTTATATCCACTGTTTTAATTTTAATTATTGTTGTAAGCGTTGATGTTAAGTTTGAGACACAATATGATCTTATTTCAATTAATTATATCTACGTACACTTAGCGCATACACACAAAGAAGAAATTTTAAAATCCTATATCGCATCAGTATTATTTTTTCCCTCAAGACCTGACATAATTGTTTTTGTATCATCATATAACCTCAACAAACTATTGTATTTTACCCTTTTAATGATGCTAAGCAATGTACAATAATTGTTTCCTTTATATCCCAATGTAATATTTATGTATATTGGATTTTACACCTCTCTTTACAATCTTGTTAATAACATAAACGTACTAGTAACTTCATTACACTCATATGAAATACAAAATAAACTTTTGTTTTGTATATTATTCACTACATAAAGGGGTCGATGCATTTACGTTACTTACTCACTAGAACCTGTCAGAGAAAAATTATAAATCAAACTCTGATAAGATAGATCAACAAAAATTGTGCATCTGCAGGACCACCCTCTATTTACCGAGAATAACACCAATGCCTACTCCTGAATTATATATTTCAATGTGAGCATGATAAATGATAACACTCTAAAGCGCAGTATAGGAAGTTTATAAACGTTGTCAACTTCCCATATCCCTCCATTGCTACTTTCGATCACATTTTTTGTTCGTCAACATGGTCAAGGTCTGATGTACCTCCCAAATTCCTTCAGTTTATATACCATTATATCAAATTATATTTGGCCACCAGTGCTTATTAATCTACAAGTTGATGAACATTTATCAAAAATGGTACAGTCTTTTAATTATCTAGTATAATTTATTATCTTTCTGTGGCATTTGTGGTATTTGTGATGCTATATATCAAAATCAAATACTGGTTTTGACGTTTTCAAATTCAATATTTGGGAAGAGGGGGTTAGGTAAAAGAAAAGTTTTAATTGCATGCTTAATATTACAGATTATGGGAGTAGAAACATTTCACCTTAATAAAAATATTCATTTATATGTTCATAACTTACGTCAGTGAAGGTTTTATAAAATATGTGTCAATTAATTGTCCAGTGATAATTATAGTATCCATCCTTCGTTAGTTATAAATTTTTTCAATAAGATAGAGTAATGACTTTTCCCTAATGAATATTATTCAAAATCTCCAATATTTAGTTAATTATGGAATAGGTTGTCTAAGTTTATTTACTGACTGCATGGGACGTAAAATCAAAGTGATCGAATTTTAACTCTTCAACATATCACAAGTGCCAAGGTCAAGGGAATTACAGGGATGTAAATCGTGTTACAGCTCTTGCTTAAGTATATTTGTAGACACTCTTGTAAGCAAATTACTTCAAATAGAACTTTTAGTAAGAGATAAGTGAATGTTGACAACATTTAATGATACGCGAAAGTTAACACAATTAAATAACTCTGGTTCTGTTTCTAACAGGAGACAAAAATGGATTAACTGTCAATGCAAAGTTCTCAAATACCGAAGAGAAAACTGTAATTGTTGCAATACATCAGTCCTGCTTTCCTACAGGGTTAGGGAAGACAAACAATATATCATGTACTTGTGGCTTCCAGCAACGGAAAGAGGAGATCGTGAATGCTGAGACAATAATCACTTCTGCTTCGTGACGTCATTTTTCATTGCTGATGTCGAGTTTCTGGAGCGATCCAGTACTTGGCTAGATTGAACACCGTTGTCTTTATGTTAGAAAGGGATAATTGAAAATTGATCCACCGTGGTAGGAATATAGCGGTGGTTATAGGCGACACACAGAACAAAACAGGTGAATGTCGAGAAATTTCAGTCTGCAGAGTCGACGATGAATGGAAATCTGAATAATGCATGAATGTAAGTTACATGTATGTTATTATATAACCTTTTGCATGAATTCTTAGAAATTCAACTAAATTAGTTTTGATAAACTTTAAACATAGTATTAAAAAATGATATATGAGAGTATTTAAGTGTTCGTTGTGTTAATGCAGAATTAAAAAATTAATATAAATTAGAGTGAAATGCAGAACATATTTTTTTTTACCTTTTTATATAAGTAAGCAATTTCAAAACATATTTCAATTTGGCATGTTTCTAATTGAGAAAACCAATTACAAAAGTAAATGACTTTTTTATTTTCCCATCTGTCTGAGAGAAGACAGCTGACACTAGGAAAAGAAATAGGTACTAATGTCCTTAATCTTAGGAAACCTTGAGGACTATAATTAATTTTGTATTAATTACATGGTGTGCAAACATCGAATTAAGACTACCAAGTCATTTTTCCGATCTACCAACTTTTCACAAGACTAAAATTAACTACTGTTTCTAGCTTTGTCGTTTAATATGACGTTAATCCCTTTCCAGATAAGATCGGATTTTAGAACTCTCTGTTTTCTTTCATGTTCTAGCTATATTTTCCCAGACAGTGTTCACTATCTGTAAGGTTGCAGTGTGATCATTAATTACATGAGACATGTTGTTGTTTATGTTTCTTTTTACCACATAGTGTTCTTGAGTGTATGCCTTTTTTGTATTTTTGTATCTTTGAAAATATTTTTGCCGAAGAATTATTTCAATGAATATTTGTGGGAATTAGAATTAAAACCCTTTATAGTTTAGAATTGTTATGATCATATTTAAAATCGTATAATATTTTCATGTTCCTTTTTTAAAATTATATTATTGCTTTATATTTAGTTAACATTGATGAAATGTTGTGTCTTTGCAAAAAAGTTTTTTTTATCCTGACAATATTTTCTACCTCTTTGTTGGGAAACTAAATAAAAATCTGTGTTCATTTGAATCAACACGGTGCATAAACTACTTCAAGGCATCTATTTGTGAAAAATTATAATCTGTGCCTAATAACTGGAGATAATCCAAAATCACTATTAGTAATTTTGACTGTTGTGGATAAAGCACGCAATAAAATTTTAATACTTTGTTAAAATCAGAGGTAAATTATCCTTTTCATTTTTCCTCACTTAAAGAGGCTGGGGGGTCGTGGCCATTGTTAGACTATTTTGATGTCCATTAAAAGAAGAGCTCCATATAAAGATATAATAAGATGATCAAATTTTAATGCTAAAATTTATGAAATTTTTCTTTGCCAAATGAAAGTTGACAGCTTAAGATATCATATCCCAAAATTTAAGTTATATCTGGTGGTTAATAAAAAAAAATAATTATAGTTGACCACTTAGCCTCCTTAATTGTTATCCATTTATATCCAGAAGGACATTACTCTATAAATTTCTTATGAAATGATGATCACCTTATCCTGGGTTCAATAAATTTTCTCACTTTTTGAGAGAATTTCACAGGAAGAATAATTGCTTTTGTAGAAGTAATTCATTCGACCACTGTAGAGTAATAAGATATTGACATGAAGCCCATTCAAGAATCACGTAGTTACCTTCTCGTATCCCAAGTGCTGTAAAGTCACAAAAAACTGTTCATTTCTTTATATAAATGACAATGTAATACATGTACTAGTTAATCTATTTTTGTATGTTAAGGCTTAATCAACTAGATCTTGGCCTATAGCTTGTTAATTATCATTTTAATACCTAGTTATGGGTGTGACCAGTCAACAGGGGATGTTCACTCACCCTAGGCACCTGATCCAATCTTTGTAATTTTCAGAGGTCTGTTTTTATACCCTCTTCGAATATTTGCATTGTTTATTTATATTTTGAGATCAATAACTATTTCTTATATTTGACCTTTGACATATTCCAAAAAAATGCTTCTGTGTAGTTTTAAAATATACAATGTCTCAGTATCAAAAGGCAAATATTATCACATATCCATTTAAAAGCATATGCTTTTGAATAGTAATATTATTCAATTTTCGTTTCAGTAAAGTGTTTTAAAATAACTTTCAGTTGCAGGTAAGGACTGAATTATACGTCATCCAACTAGATGGCGATGTATAATGACGCTGTAATTCAAGTACTATAATTGAATTCACTAACACTGCTGGAATAATTATTTCAATAGTGATTGAGAGTGCAAAACCAAACAAATTATGGTTGTTACCAATTTGAAATAACGTTAACTATTGTTATAATAACTCCTTAAGAACAGCAAAGATTGATAAGGAAATATTCTCAGGTTGTGTAGATCTACATGTAGGTTGTTCAAATCATGACTCCTTAGGTTTGGTTTGGGCTACAAAAGGGGGTCAAAGTTAGGCAAAGGAATATTAAGGATACATAAATAGAATTTTGTAAAGAAAAATATCATCCTTAGGTAGCGTAGACGTAATGATCAAATCATGACATTTTGAGGTAGGGAGAGACCGTGATAAAACATCAAATGTCGGGACCACAATTAAATTTAAACTTTTCAATGCTGAACTGCATGATTTTTGCTTTTTTCCAGTCAAAATGTCCAGTGAGCGATGTATTTTTTTGTTTGCATTAGCAATAATTAATTCTAGTATATGCAGTGGCATATTAATTAATCAGTGCACACCTTTTTTTCAATTTAAAGTCATCAAAAAGTAAAAAATTGCAAAAAAGTACAAGTTCTGTAATTCACGAATTCATGTCAACTGATCGGAAAAGACAATATGACTTTATTATAAAGCATTATCAATAATAAATTTTTATTTCGGACAGTTTGAAGAAATCATGCGAGAACATATACATGTATAAGGTAAAATTTATGTAGATATTTTTTTTTACAATATTGTTCTTAGAAGTGAGTCTCTATTTGCTTTTTAAATTTCATATTGCAAGATATACGAGGGGTGATCAAAAAGTTCGCGAACTATCTCTATATCTACAAAACCACATTTCAGATTAGAAAAAAAATTTGGTACACACATAGCCATACACAAGTTCTATAAACAGCATATTCTGAATAAAGTTTTGCTCCTTGTTTGTGACGTCACAATGTGAAAATGACGTCACTATTTAGGTCACTTGTGACGAAAAATGGTTGTCTCAGTCGTACTCGTTCAACAAATGACTGTACAATTTATTGTATATCTTAGAAATCCCTTTGCAGAAGCATATAATATTTTGTACACAGTTTATTAAGACAAATGTCTTTTAATAAATTGAATCAATGATTGGATTGAACATTTTAGTGAAGGAAGGGAGATGGTTAAAAATGATACTTGTAATGTTGCCCAGTGAAAGCAACTTTGAAAAGAGAAGTGTTTTTCAATAAGCAATTTGCTACCAAAGACCCCAGTTTACACATTGAAAAATAGTTGAATATTTGAACAATAATATAATTATTAAATACCTAAGATATCGTTTACTTTAGATTTTAAACATATTAGATATGATAAAAAGGAGGCACTCATTCTCTATCCACCTTGAATAAATGTTTCTCCCGAGACAGAAGATTTGGGTTTTAATAGTCGCAATGCGTATTTTTGGAAAGGATATTCTTATCCACCCATTCTGTAGCCGAGATTTGACCATTTCTGACAAATGAACTGTTTTTGTTATAAAAATTAACTTACATGGAAGTTAATATAAAACTCAGAAAAGTATTTCAACTTTTGTAACAGAACGCTACAGAGGGGGTCACGTGACCGCCTATATCACGTGATTCGTGCACGAGCAGAACGGTGGTTGATGTGCAATAAAATCGGAGAGGACAAATTTAAAATTTAATCAACACTGAAACCAAATATTGTTTCTTTTATGGAAGTTATTCAGTTAGTTCGCGAACTTTTTGATCACCCCTCGTATATTCTTTAATGTTTTTTTCAAAATAATCAGACGGAATGCAATGAAAATTCTTAAACAAATTTTAGAGCATCCAAGATAAAAAGCTCAAGAATTATTTTGATCATTGACGTCATAAACATGTATTTCCAAAAAAAAAATGGAGCAAAAAAATCAATTATGGCCATAAATAGAAAGATATTTTATTAATAAGATTTAAAAAAAAAAAAACATTCAGAAAGACAGAGGAAATTGGACTTGAATAATTTTGAAATTTAATTATTGGTGGAGTTATATATAGTAAACTACATCAGCTATTTTTTCGATAGATTTTAGAATTATCTAAAGAGTTTCGTAACAAGTTTTTTTTTTCTGATCAGGTTTAGTTTTGCCTTTAAAGAATTGAGGTATTGTAGACTGAGATAACTAGAGAGAAAGTTTGTTCATTTCCCGATCATGACCAGCGGGTATGACCGTTCAATATGAAATGCTTTCTCCTCCTTGGCATCTGATACTACCTCTGACGTCAGTGTTTGCTCTGCTTCTATTTGTATTGTTTAATGGACCTTTGAGCTTGAATACTGTTCGTCATTTCTATATATTTCACAAGTATAGGAAAATGAATGATGTACATGCATTAAAATTACATCAGTGTAGCGTACAATAGCTTTTTTCAATGTTTTTGTTATGTGAATAAATGCTATCTTTCATAGCAAAGTTAAATACATGTAAACTATGCCAGATACCTTTCATATAGAAGCCCCATAATCACAATTGAAATACCTATGCATATAAATGTATCTAAACTACAATTTTTAAAGTAAAAAATCACGGGGGGGGGGGTGTTATTGAAATTGCTTTAAAAAAATGTAAACGTTAAACTGATTTCTTAATTATTTAAAACTTTAATAAAAGACACGAAAAGAGGGCTGAAGCATGCATACCGCGAAGAAATAATTCAAAACAAAAATTATGTTTAATCAACTTTATTTATCTAGCCATTAGACTGATACGAAACAGGAACATCTAAACAATATAACTGATGTGTTCGGGTGAAAGGCTCCTAATTAATTTTTATCCCTTTTTCCCTTTAACCAAACCAGACTAATTTTGAAAATACTTATCGGAGGCTTGAAGCTTGATGTCATACGATGACAATTTACAAAATTAAT